GGAATGTGGGTGTAACAGGAGCACTATTTGATATACTTTTTGGCTCTGACGTATCTTCATCTATTAGTTTCAGTTGGTTAACCGTGTACGTTTCTCCATTTACTTGCAGAGTGTTACGTCTTATTTTGGCATTGAACTGGTGCGCTCTTGCCTTGTTCCGATGTTTCAACAATATTTTTTGGACTTGCTTGTCTTCTTTGTATAGATCTTGTGCTATATGGATTTGTTTTCCTTTCAGCTTGTTGGAATTTCGAAGAACTAGATCTTTTGTTGAAAGTCTGGTGAATGCAATTTCAATTGGAGGAGATTGTATCTCACTTTTTAATTGATAAATATCACTGATATCGGACTCTAATATGGGAATACCCAGTAACTCATTCAATTTCTCAAGTTTTTGCGTAAGCAACAAGTTTGATTGATCAATTTTAAGCCCAAATACCAAAATATACTTTTTTCTGATTAATTTTTGCAAGTGACTATTTTTGTTTTCTAAAACCTCAATTCTTTTTTCCAAATTAGCTATTTTAGTTGATTGTTTCTAATTTCGCAATCAATTTTTTATTTTCAGATCTGATTTTCTGTTTTATCTCTTCTTTGTTCTTATTACCCTCTTCTTCTATTTTTCTTAATATAGTTTCAAGTAATTCAGAGGTCATAATTCATAGATATCAGATATGTGATTAGCAGTAACAATCACCTGTTCCAATTTCCTATCAGAGAAATGGGAACTGATGGTTTGGTCAATTTTAACTCGTAACACATATATTTTATGAAATTATGTTTATGGTAATAAGGTGTCAATTCGACTCACCTTCAAGTAGATCGAATTTCATCTTATAATTGTCACTAGATCTATACGTTTTACTGGTAAAAACCGGGAGCAGAATCTACACATTAGTGAAGTCCACGGTTAAGCTCGTCGCCCACTTGTCCGGCACAGCACAGTCTTGTCAAAATATGTATTGGATTGGAACGGTACAGCCAAGAGCGTCCGCCGCTGGAAACGATTCCAGCTCTCCTGTCCGGCAAATAATGCTAGTTGCACACACACCGATTTTGGACGGCCAGTATAAAATCGGCCGATATTTCATTGGTAGCGGGTGCTTGCACACTCACCGGATTCTCATCGGTCAAACAATCAGTTGCTTTGTTGTCGTAATTAGCAAGCACTACCAAAACGAAGTTAATGCGTAGTATTTTCAATTTCACTGAGTATTCGAGACTGGAATGGTCGGTAAAAAACCGGTGAGTATGCAAGAGTGTATTTAGTCATGTATGCTACTACTTCCCGGTACTCCCGGCGATACGGTGGCAGTGGACGGCTGCTCACCGGTATTTTACCGGCGACGATCACCGGTCGGCGTGTGTGCCAGGGCCCGTTCCCACATGTGATTCACTATTGGAATTTGGACGACCGATACGAAGTCGGCCGTCCAAATTCGGTGTGTGTGCAACTAGCGTAACGGTACGTGCTGTGACGGACTGGACAAGTGAGTGCGTCGCCGGCCAGCGCTTATTGCCAGCATCAACTTGTCCAAACGTGCCTGGGAAGTTTTTGTCCATCTGTTTTGTTATTCCATCAGTTGACAGCACGGTGTCAGACGGTACCCATGAAAATGGACGAGGAAATATTGAGTTGCTTTTTACAGCAGGCTCTAGAATATCCAGAACATCTGAAAATTTGCCTGGAGTCATTCAGAAATACTGAAAAAATTTCTCCTCGTCTTCTTTTAGGTCGTTGAAGGAATGATTTCTATACCTAGCATTTTCACAAAAAAATCAATAATTCGAGAACGGTAATAGTTAGGTACATAGTACCTGATATGAAATCACATTATTTATTCCTGACCTATTCAAAAGTGTAACGAAATACAAGGCGTTTCATTTGAAAAAAACACACAACTTTGAATACAACACTCTTTTGGGCCACCCTGTAGATTCCAGAAAGGTTTTCTTTTGCAGTTATCAATTAGCTTTTCGAATAATATTCGTCTCGCCACGACAAATATCGTCTTGCTCTGATGGTCAAGAAGTACTACATCAGGATTAGCGTGTGGCAGTCTGAGGGGGTAGGAAGTTAGTCCCAATGAATGTGGCCCTTCTCGTTTCCCACAAAGGATTCAATGTTCCCCGAACCGTATGGCGACACCGGTGTCTTGTCAATACTCTAAAAGTGACATAGGTGGTCTAAGACACCTCACGGTAGGCCCTGCATCTTGTATCTGAAACCTCTTTTCTTATCACGCGAATACGATAGATTGAGGTGTTGAAAACACCATTCTGGCGAGCCATGATGAACCTCCCGACTTCAGCCCACTCGATCTGAAAAAAGCGAAGGTCAGGCTCTTTGTGTTGCTCATCCTTGTGTTACCGTAGGGGTGAAGTGATATCTGCGGCTTCCTATGTTCCGACTCGGTGACCAAATTGTGATCGCATCATTCAATGTCGGAAAATAAACCAAGTTCATCAGCCGCTCGGGTAGCCATAAAGAGAAAAGCTCCAAATCCTGAGGGTCACGGACCATGCAGAGACGGGAATACGAACTCCTGATAACTACAGGCTCCAACCAGTATCATTCTGTCATGAAAACATTCCATATTCGAAAGTTCACGGCTTCCCTGTTGTCGGAGAAAGTTCAACCAATAATTTGAGATGCAAATTCCTACGGAGATGCATTATTTTTCAGGTCTTCAAGTTAAGTCGATACAGCTCCTTTCGGATCCATTTTACAACTCCATACGAGTAGAGTGGGATTGAAACCGCAAGCATATTCACAGCAGTCACTTCGTTCTTCCCAGACAGTTCCGATTACCAGATCTGTCGGAGTTTGTGGTGATACTTGCCGTGGAGAGAGTTCTTCACTGCCGTTACCTCTTGTGAGTGGCATTGTTCCACTTCTAGGTGAGTATTCGTCTCTCCGGCATCCAGATGTTGTAGGATGCTTCCGTCTACGAGCTGCGCACTCTCTCCATAGTCTCTGCATCGTCCTTTCATGTGATGGACCATTGCGCATTTGTCTATCTTGAATCTTATACCGATAGCATGGGTGTACTTTTCCGCTACCCCCAAGAACTCATGGAGATCGATTTTTTCAGAAGCATCAACTTTAATATCAGCAATGGATAATGATGGTAGTGATATGGAGAAAAAGAGGGGATTGAGGAAATTGCCCTGGAATATACTCCTTCTGAAAGTGACCTGACCTGTCTGGACTCTAGCCTGACCAGATGTAATGGCCAGACTGGTATCAGTTGTTCAAGCACAATTGAGTTTGATATTATTTGTAACTATGGAATTCAACTAAACTTATAACAAAATAATGAGTCATAAATGATTTCTATTATTTATTTACATGATGGAGTGGAAAAAAGTGACATCAATGTGTAGAGAAAATACGATACTCAATATTTGTACTAATGATTTCAGGATGTTCTGGAATGACAGTGATCTCAACCTTAGGCAGATGGTTGTGGTAGTTGTGGAATATGAGCACCTCTGGGGACGAAACCATTTTCGGGATCCACTGTGTATTCAACTTTGTATTCGACATTGTCGGGTCCGATATATCTGTAAAATCCTTTAACGTCCATATACTCTCCTTCTTGTCCTTTGTTAGCCAGATGACCTTCTTCCTCTCCTAATATTCCATTTTCAGTTTCGTATCTGTGAAGAAAATTATTGTCACACATATTCTTTTTTATTATGATTGTGTGGAAATTGTGAGTTTAACTTACATGTAATGATAACCGTCTTCCAAAACTTGTTCGATTTTCCTGATTATGCCATATTTGTTGTAGTCTTTGTTTCCTGCAGAATTTCCCTTGGCTACCAACGATGGAGCGGCAGTGACTGGTTTGTAGATAGATACTGGTGATGGCGATGCTACTATGGCTTCAGAAATTATCATTGAAATATACGAATAGAAAATTCATAGAATAATACTGAATAAAACATGAATTCAAGAGTAATTATCAGTGACCTTAACAAATTTTGGTTGACGAAATGGTGGCCAATTATCATAAAGACTGCTTTCATTTCTCAATTCCATTATTCAAACATCACATTCCAAAGGTGTTAACATGTCACATTGTTCAGATGTATGATGTGTCAGAGGTATATTCTATAGTAGTGTAGTAAAGACATTTTTATTATCGTCAGCCTGTTTGAATATTTTCATTGAGATTGAGTACAGATACTTTCGTTTCATTAGGCGTCAGTGAAAAACCGTTGTGATATCATTTCGTGTGTAAACTTCCAGTCAATATATTTTCATCAATGTGTGTATGGTTATTTTTGAAATGAATATAAAATAAAAATGTAGTAGCTAGCCATTTATTCACACATCACTTCAGATTGAAATTATTCAGAATTTCAACTATTTTATCAACAGAATATAATCCAGAATACACTATGCGCGCTTATATCAAGAACAGCTTAACGGGCTTTGGTTCAGTTTTCACTAACATTGAGTCTTTGATTTATACAAATTGATTCCAAATAAAATATATTCATTATTTCGAAGAATAATGTTGAATATTTGCTGACACGTAGGCTGAATATACTTCACTTCACACAAAAACATTCCCGTGAATTATTAATAGTCAATTGAGTACATCGGAAGATTTTGCTTCCGAAAAATCTGGAAAGACCGAAAAGTTCCCGCGATGGATTCGCGGACAATAATTATGAAAAATATATTCATTCATGAACAGTTGATTTTTTTTCAATAGGAGGAAGTTTATAATTGTTTATAAATGTTTGAAAAAGTTCACATAGATTTAGAAATTTACATATTTCGAATGGAATATGTAGAATCTAAGAGAGAATGATATATGTGCTATTTTCCAAATTTATTATTTCCTCAATATTTCCAATTCTCTCAACTCCAAAACTGTGAAATGCTTTCTTTCGACTGACGATAACTTTCACCCAAATTTGCTACCGAGTCTGATGTTTGGCTAACAAAAGCATACAAAAGTTATGGGTGAAGAAAAAGTAGTTTTCAGTATATTGTTTTGTTATTACTAAAAAGCTGCTTATATCAGTAATGTATCTGATTGATTGAGTTCAAGAATCGAAAATTTCTGAAATATAATTACTTTAGGAAGTTATAACTAATGCAAAAAAAATGATTTTTAGAATGTTTGTATCTTTGTCTGTGCGTTTGTGTGCGCTAGTCTCAAAAACGGTTTATAGTGATTTCCATCATTATGTTGTAGTGAGCTCACTGGGAGTTTGGTGTTTGCTTGGTTCCAGTGAATTCATTGAAATAAAAAAAATATTTCAAATGAAAAAACATGTCAAACATTTGTTGGAAAAAGTTATAAAAATACTGTATTTCATCAGTTCGGACTTCCATTGTCATTCCAAACCAAGTTACGTCACGACGTTTCGATTGTTGGTATCCACAATCATCTTCGGATGATAACTGGATTCAGGGATTGCAAATCAATTTATATTATATTAGACAATGGAAGTCCGAACTGATAAAATACACCACGAAACATCGTCAACCACCTTCAAACAAACGTTATAAAAATACTGTTCAGTTGATTTCGATAAAACTTTGGTTGAATATATTTATAGTTTGATACATTTTCCGGTATTCGAAGAAAGGTAAATATATAACATTTTTGTTATTGAAACTCTGAGAAAACCCAAAAACTGAAGTCCATGCTAACTAAGTTGCGGACAACAATTGGTATTCAATGTATTCCAAATATCAATGCCCATTGATTGTTTGAAAGAAAGAGCATCGATGACAATTTTGAAAATACTGTAGGAAAATTTTTCGACAAATGAGAAGAATATAGTGCGTACCAGAAAATTAGGTGAAAAAAGCAATTAACTATTAATTATTCATACAGGTCAGTCATTTCTTCGTTTCTTATTTTTTCACTGATTTTCACTGAATTTGTTTGAACAAGTAATGCACTGTTTGGCACCTTTGGTGTAGTAATGGATATTACTGAAGTTTTATCCCGATATCAAACCGTTATTGCAACACCACGACACGTGTTACGATCACCAAGTGATCATCTTCTAGAGGAAGATTAAACTCTGACCATCTTCCTTCTTTTGGTTATTGGATCACGTGTCGAGGTGTTGAAAGTAACGGTTTGGTGTTGGGATTGAACTTCAGTAATATTCGTTTGGACAAGTTTGAAAATGTTACAGTTACTCGAAGTGATGAGGCGTTTATTGAGCCCGAACTAGATTGAGTAATTCAGTATTTCGTAGATATAATATTTTACAATTTGTTGCCCTTACCTCCTCTGTTGACATTTCCAACGTAAGGATTGTAGTCTGCACCTTGGTGTTGGTAACCTTCGTCTGAATGCTCGTAACGTCCCGAGCCGTCGGGAATGTAGGCACCACTGTTGTCAGGATGATATTGGCCATCATCATTGTATGCACCGGAATTGTCAGATACGTATGCGCCACTGGCAATATTTTTGTAGTTGTAAGGATTGTCAATATGTACATAAGCTCCACTATCATCGGGACGGTACTGTCCTTCATCATTGCTAGCCGGGTTGGAGTTAGCTGGTCTATATTGAACGATTTGGGGAGTTTTGTTATATTTGAAAGGTTTATACTGAGGGGCTGCTGCGCATAGCGCAACTAACGCGCAAAGAACCTGGAACAAAAATTGTTCTTTGAGTTGGTGTTTCATTTCACTCTAACTGAAAGAAAAGATCCAGGTATTATTCGTAGGAAAAATGGATCTGGGTCGAGTTGGAGAAAACTGATAATGAATTCAGAGAAAAACTAAAGATTTATGCAGTAACATTTCTAGGAAAATTTGATTATGTGACACATAACTTTGTTTCAATTCAATGACCTACATTAATTACAGGGAAATGGATATGAATAACTATTTGTCTGTGGCTTCGCCCGCAAAGATATAGATTTGCGACCTTGAGTTTCGTGATGGATCATTCTGAACAAATAGTTACAATATTTTTTCATTAATCCAAAACTTCAGGTTTCCAACTTCGAAACTGAAGAAATTCAATGCAATTTTTGAACCCCTATTTTCCCCCTTGGTGGTGGAAATTCCTGATTTCCTTTCTTGTTGCTTATTTAAGCTACACACATAATCTACCTGCATACTTCAAGATTCAGTAGCTTCGGCTGTACGTTAATATAAGAGCGGGCGACGGCTAATTCAAAAATACAGTAACTAAAAATATGCCAACTGCACTGAGAAATGAATATCTTCGATAATCGAAATATGTTATCTATAAAGAAATTCGCAAAACTAACACAACCGTCAACGACGTCTCCCCTCACGTGTTTGCCCGCGTTCGGGTCGCGTTTTCGGCGATGGCGCTCAATTGTATAGATCGCCCCTCTCCCCCGCGCATTGTCCTCCGTCGTCTTACAGTACCTGTATCTGTAGTGTAGAAAGGGTGAGTGTAAGCCCCCCATTGTACATCCCCCCGAGGAGTTGTCCTCCTAGGTCATCGTCCATCCTGTCCTTTCCAGGTGGACAGGTCACTGGCAGACATCTCCTTTATATCGGCAGACTCGCCGAACACACACTCTTCCCAGGGTCGCCCAAGGTGATCCTGGCAAGATTACATCCTTTGATTCCATTCCATCTCTTTAAGGATTGAGCATGGGTGTAACATTTGACTAGTTCCACAATTGTCGAAGTCGTCAGGCCGTAGGTGCCACTGAGTCCTGAAATTCCTAGTCCAGCCGCTTCCTTGACTGAAGAGTCGGCAATGCGATTACCTTTACTCCTGTCGTACCCTTCAACCCACCTCATGATAATGTTATTATCTACCGGGGCTTTGGCTAAATCTTGGTGACACTCTAGTACTAGCCCTGAAGTTATACGTTGTCTGTTCAAGGCTAATAGGGCTTGTCTTCTGTCAGTGCAGATTGTTATGTTTTTGCCAGAAATTTTTCTCTTGGTTATTTCTTTTGTGGCGATTGAGATACCAGCCAGTCCTGTTTGGACCACGCTGGTATTTCTTCCCATTCCCCACTTCATTCTTAGGCTTAGTGATCTGGAGTATACTCCACACCCTGACCTTTCTTTGGTTTTTGAGCCATCTGTATGAATTCGTATTGCATTTGTATCATCTGACTCTATGTTCTGCTTAATTTGTATTTTGTAGGGTTTATTGAACACAAACCTGGGTTCAATTGCATCGCTTGTTGTCTGCAGCAGAGGTTGCGCAGTAAGCGCTTCCCGCCATAGGCCCAGCCTCAATTGACCCATTCCTACTTCGAGGTTTACACCAGCCGTGAGCAATCGTACCATGGCCATTAACGCAACCTCCTTAACATACAGATCCAGAGGGGTCAGACCCGTGATTAATTCCATGGATGGCCGCTGCTGGTAAAAATTTCGGGACTCATGCAATGGCTCCATACGTTAACATAGGTCTTATCATTGCAATGTAGATCCAGGTGACCACACGGGGTGAAAGACCCCATGTGCGTCCCACTGTCCTCCGATATTGCTCATAAGCCACATATGCTATTTTTGCTCTACTCTGTAGATGAGAGTTCCATGTTAGCTTCGTGTCGAGGATAGTACCAAGGTATTTTACCTCTTCAGAGAAGTCTTACAGTAGACGCCACGCGTAATGGCTTACTGTGTTGCATCAAGTTAATCTTATCATGATAAATTTTAAACGATTCGTCCAAATTATTAAGTGTAAAAGATAGTGTAAAATATTAAATATTCAAAACAACAATTGTATCAAGTTTTATAAGAATTTGAGTGATATTCCAAAATATGCATTTTTAAAAAAGTATCCAATTTAATTGGATTTTTTGGATCAGTATTTTGCATATAGTGGCTACCACATGAGAGGTACATATATGCTATCATGAACTTTTATTTGAAACTATTCAAGATGAACAATCTTACGGGTTATCTGCATGTAACTCCAACGGTATAGGCAGCGCACGCCAAGATAGTTCTCAGGGAGCAAGATTATTTCCTACATACTTAATACTTATTGTTATATTATGACCAAAATCAAGTCGTTTAGGCGACTGAACGGACTTCCACTTTTATATAAGTGAGAAGATAGATTGAAAATACTTCAGAAATTTGAGAACTGTAGAAATTCAAAATGTGCATCACCAAACTATACTTTCAGAAAATTTGAATTTTTACAGTAAGACGAACTTGAAAATGGGAAAAATCATTCGATCATGAGTGAGGAGATGAATCTGTTCAAGATCGGAAAAGCCTATTTGAAATATTTTTCTTATAGGTTGAAAATTATGGAGCTATATTCACACCTTCAGTAAACTCATTAATCTGAATAACACACATATTCTCTCATTGAAGTTGAATTTTGTACACTCATAATGTCGATACAATTTTTTATCGAAGACTGGCGATAATGGTGGCGAAATATCAATTCATCGATTACCTATACTTCGATGTTATTGTATTTTTGAGTGTATTGAAGATTTTGAGATATTGAAATATTTGAGAGATATCGACATATTTGGGGTATATGAGAAATATTTGAGAAATTTGGGATATAGTCTTTTACAAAAATAGAATGAAGGGCATTTTCTTGTATTGTTGATTTTTCCTTTTACATTCAAGCTCGTTTTTATATTTTCACAACGGATTTCCACATCAGTGAAATATGCTGAATTATTCTGAAACATATGTTATTCGTTTTATATCTCACTAAAGAGGTAAAATAACTTCATTTCAACTCACTATTTCAGGAAATTCATTTCGGTTATCGTTGGAAACTGTGTCATTTACTATTTCTCAATAAACATTATTTTTTGTCATATCCCATGACTTTCAAAATGATTGACTAAGAAATAGGTAAGTAGAAACCCAGACTGAGAAATTATTCTCAATTATAATTTCAATAATTTTATAAAGTATTGAATGTAGATGAAATTGTTGAATTTTGATTTCATACACGTTTACTGTCGGTTACGATGAACTAAAAATACGAAAGGAATATATATTTGCGGTTCTCAATTAGTTGAAATTATGATAAATCGAAAATGAAATAAAAATTTCAGGAGTGAATAATTATTGAATAATTATTCATGGGGGCATGCATTTTTTCCTCAAATAATGAGAATAAGCTACACAAATAACTGAATGTGGCAATTTGATGAATATTTTTCGTCTGAATGTAAATCACTTACCAGAAATTTCATCATGACAAAAAATAATTTTGAACACACTAGTTTGCCACTTCCAAATCTTCTGTTGATAACTCGAGTTTGTCTTCCCTTTTATCGAATGATCAAAAATTTTAATTTAACCCCTCTACTCACAAATTTGCTTCATGAAATATTCAAATACGAAAACGTTTTGTGGTCTTGAATTCAGTATTACGATTTTAATGGGAAATCAGCATATATTTTATTATATCTACATTTCAAGAATCCCTGACATATGAATTCGATGAGACATCAGCTCTGAACTGGTTTTGATATATTCTCGATGATTTCGTTGTATCTGGGTCGTTCCAGAGTTTATGAAACCAATAGAAATTTATAGTTTCTGTACAATAAGTGGTCGAAATAGTTTAGATTTTCAGATTAGTACAAATTCGAAATGAAACTATTTTGAACTATGATTGAGAATAATGATTCAAAAATTATATTCCAAAATTATCATCACAGTATCATATTAGTTTTCTATACTATTGTTATCCAGAATGATTCTCTCTATGAACCGGTTGATACTTATTCTTCTATATAAATCAAAAGTCTTTTTTTAATTTAGGGTAATTTATGTGTTTTGGTATATTTAAAAATTAGTAAATTTCCAATTGGTTTTATCTTTATACTGATCATCACAAGAAGTTTCATGAACGACGAATTTAAGGAGGAAAATAACAGGAATAAAGAAGAATTTCCATGTATTATATTATTAAGAAAAGGACTGTTTTTGATTCAAGTGATAAAACTTTTTTTCTGAAGGAGTCAGTATTGGTGTAATAAACGAGCATATCTCATGATAAATATCAAACACTTATGGCACACTATTGGTAGTTAGTAACATACGCACAGCCGTCAGAATACTCAAAGATGCAAAAACTGGATACTAACTAACTGAAATGAATCTCAAGTCGATGAATGTACTAACTCGAACTGGTTCAACACTCACTTTTTGGTGAAGTCAAATTGGTTTTTATAAAAGCGTTTCACAGCTCAAAAATTGGTGAGGGTTACCAAACTTGGTTAGTTGTTACGATGAAGGCATAGATCTAGATCAGTTATTAGGAAAAATGCATCTATCTTGGTTAGTTGTGTTGCATGTTGCATGTATCTTGTGTGATTGTTGAACTTCTCATTAGAAATGGAGATTGGATTGACCGACATTTTTCTATTTTGCCTCACTTTCATTTGGGTGAAGAAACACATGATTTTCTGGAAACTAAATGGCTGATATTGCTGCTGAACAAAGTTACAGAGTCAAGAAATAAATGTTTCGTAAATGAAATTATTGAATCTCAAAAATTTCTTTCCAAAAACACTGAATCCCATAGACAAGGTTCGTCTACATCGCCTGTGAAGAGAATAACCAACTAGAATGTGTTGAGGATGATTGAAATGAAATATTTCAAGACATAAACGTTTATATTCATAAAAAAACTACAAGTCGCCGGAATGTAAGGAATATTGTTTAGGTTACGAATTCTTATGACACAATTCACACGAAGTCTGTATATAAAGTCAGCTTGATGTCTTGATTATATCTTTTTTGACAGCAAAACGCTTGTTCCACGCTGGTAGATTGATAAAAATATCTAGAGTCTTACCATAGATATAAAAATATAGGTAGTTTGGAAGATGATTATACATCTTGAAACCATTATACAATATAGAATTTTTAATTAAAGTAGTGTTAGGTACGGGAAGACTTAAATTTAGGGTCTGGCGTAATGAGAGACAATAGAGGGAAGTTCTGTTCTATGTTTATGCACTAAACAAACTGTTTCTAAAATGAATAGAGCATACAGTGATAACATTTTGTTTGCTACAAACAAAGGCCTACAAAAATCTCGCCGCCTGGCTCTACAGAGAAATCTTAATGACCTTTTCTGCAAATAATTCTAATAATAATAAATTGATGAATATAACCATTACTTCGTGGTAGGAGACCGTCGTGAAAATGAGAAATGAAACTTTCTATATTTCACCAATTTTATTCATAACTAATGTTACTGCAGTTTCACCCTATAAGGACATTTTCAAACAATACATCTACTGTAGGTAATGATATGTTTGAAATGTTTAAAATATGTTGTTTAAAGTATATTTTCTTCGTAAGCCACCTATGGCACCGACAACCCTCAGAAGTCGAAACTTGTGCGAGCTAAGGACTAACGAGGTTTTATCTTGTAACGTGTGATTCCTAACACGGGTTGGACGATAGCAAGTGAAAATCAAGCGTTCAGCCTGGGACTTGAACCATCGACTCATACATCGGCCGATTGAGTGAGTGAACAAAGAACCCACGTCGAACCGCCCGGCTAACAACCGACAAATAGCTGTCCTTAACTCAATTGAGTACCTGAAATTTGTTCACGTGTGACAATGTGGATACGCCAATTTGAAAACTAGTGAGTAAACTAGATCGATTTCATCATTCTGTTTTGAGAAATTTCGAACACACTGTCCTACATAAAGACACTCCGGAAACTCAATAATAATAATAATAATTTTTATTTGTAGTTCCTTATTACATATAAATACAAGGAATATTCAATCTATAAAAATAATAAAAAAAATACAAATAAGGCTAGAAACAACATGTACTGGAAGGGTACTGTTGATCTCAGTTCTAGCCTTGAAGAAAAGAAAACTAAACAAGAGAAAAAACAAAGGAAAAATAAGAAACAAAAAGGAAGGAGAAAGAGGGAAGAGAGGGAGAAAACATGTTGAATGTTTACTGAACATTTTTCAGAAGTATAAAATCTATGAAATCAATGGCTTTTTGATTGAGCAGCGATGGGATATTTTTTGTAACAGCACTTAAATGAAGAAACTTCACTTACTTTATATTTTTGTGGAATATTATTATACAAACTTCATATATTATAACTGAAGGATCGTCGATATACAGTGGTTCGATGGGGCGGAGAAGAGAGTAACCCTTTAAACCTCAAATTTGAAGTGTGTACATCGCTACGAAATCTTATTTTGGTATACAAATATGATGAACATTTGTTAATCAATATTTCATGAAAGAGGGTAGCAGAGTGTAAAAAACGTCTATTTTCCATAGTTAACCAATTGGTTTCCTTAAGTTTATATGAAATTCTCATATTTTCTAATACCATATATATATATACCTAAGACATGATTTTTGAACTCTCTCAATTCCTAAAATTTGTTTTTTATCCAGGAATGAACCATACACAACATCACAATATGCAAAATGACTCAACACAAGCGCATTTGTTAATTTTATTTTCAAACTTGTTGATAATAAATGACGATGAGGATAAAGCATTTTCAAACTCATGTAACTTCTTTGAACACATTTTGTGACATGTTTTGTAAACCTTAGATTCACGTCCATTTCGATACCCGAATTTTTTGCAATGTTTGTGGGGCATATTACTGTATGCACCAAAAACAAGCAGATTAGTTTTGTTCGAATTGATTTTTAGGTGATGAGCTTCAGATGCTGAAATAAGACGAGCTAGATCTAAATTAAAATTTTTATTAGCAGTAGCAACGAGTTACCGTTCGATAACCCCTTACATCAGCAGGATATTGTTCGATGACCCGAAGACGACATCATTTATTTTGCTGATATCTGCAAAGTCGGCAATAATTTATGTATAAATAGGTGCAATTGATTTGTAATAGCCAGTACTTATATTTCATAGTTATTAGTTGTTACTCTGTTCAAATAAAAAGTTTTTAAAAACCCTTTTGTGTGAACGAGAAATATAATTAACGTCATTAGGGTTAAATGATAGATATAGTTGAGCGTCATCCGCATACATATGTGAATTACAATGTCTTGAAACAGAAACTAAATCACAAGTGTATATGCAAAATAATAAGGGTCCAAGTATAGATCCTTGAGGCACTCCAAATTTAATAAATTCTCTGCTTGATTTTCCCTTCGAAGTTTCTACAAACTGTGAACGATCTTTAAAATAGCTTTTAATTGAATTTATAGCAGGTTCAGAGAACCCGATGAAGTTCGAAATCGCAAATAAAATTGGATAACTAATAGTATCAAAAGCTTTGGACAAGTCTATAAGTATCAAAGCAGTCGTGATACTTTTGTCAGCAGCTTCGAAAATATCATCAGTTATTTTCAAGAGAGCAGTTGTACAGCTGTGTTCTTTACGAAATCCTGACTGATTGATTGGTAAAATATTAAAGGAATTTTAGATCGTTAAGAGTATTTGGATTGAATATTTCAGGAAGAGCCAGTATTTTAGAAATATTCCATATTTCAGGAAATTTATTATTTTGCAAACATGAATTTATTATATTAGTGGGATATGGTAGTATTATAGGATAGCAAAGAAGTGGCATATCTATATCAATTTCATCTGAACCTATGGCTCTTGTGTTTATTTCTAGAATACATTTGTAAACAATATTTTCTGTTACCGGCTCAAAGCGAAATGTGTCAGTAGATATATTATTTTTTGAATCACTGTAATAATAATTCAATAACTCATTACTAGGTACAAAATGTTGGTCGGAATTACTCAAAAAACATTTATTGATTTCAATAGGATCATTGAGTTCTTCTGGCAAGTTATTTTTTTTACGAGAATATATGTTAAAATTTTTAAGTTAATTCCATAATAATTTAATATTATGGTTACCACTTATAACCTGATTAAGATATGTTTTTTTCTCATTTCTTATCATGATATTGGTTTGGTTTCCTAGCAATTTATAATAGTTCCAATCAGTAACGTTCTTAGTTTTTTTTTGAATTTTTTAAGAGCTTTATCCCTTAGACCTATTATCAGTTTCACATTATCAGAGAGACATGGTTGTTGAACCTTCCTCACTTTTACTTTTTTTACTGGCGCAACAGTATCAAATATGAGTAGCATCAAATCAGTAGAATACTTAACCTTGTCATTGACATCCTGAAAAAACAAAATGTCATCGAAGGGTGATAGTAACAGCAGCTGCAGTAAATGATCTCTGTCGATTCGCTTAAAATTTCTATATGTAAGAAACTTTTCCTCATTTCTGTAATTTTCATGATTAATTGCACTGAAATTAAATGTTGCTTCATTGGATAGTATA